TTGCCACATCACCGATCAGCGCCTTGGTCGTCGCCACGTTATCCCTCCCACCGCGTCACCATGCATGGCGCGGCACAGACGTTTCACCATGCCATGTGAATAGGCGAGGCAAAAAGTGTTAGATTTGAAAAAAAATAAACAATGTTAGATTTAAAAATAGTGTATAAAAAGTGTTAAAATTAAAAAAAAATCCCCACCATCTAGCCTGCCTACACTAGTAGAGAAATGGGTTGTAGTTTCGATTGGGAACTGACTTTAGTCCCGGTTTCCCAACCGGGACTACGAATCCGGGACTAAAGGTCCTGGCCTTTAATTCCGGGTCACATAAGCGGGACTAAAGGTTCATCCTCAGGAGAAAAATAAACGAAATTGTGGGGAGACCTCTCTTGTGATGTGTGAGATTCGAACCCAGGACCTCTTTCCTCGCGCATAAACTCCTTACCAATTCAGCTGTACACCACATGTGACAGGGTCCTGGACACTCTCCTTTTGAATTGACCTGTGGGGTACCTTTAGTCCCGGGTGGGAGACCTTTAATCCGGGTTGGTGACACCAACCGGGACTAAAAGGTCACCCTTTAGTCCCGGTTGGTGTTGGTTGAAGGACCTTTAGTCGGGTTGGTAATACCAACTGGGACTAAAGGTGGCCTGCTGCGAAAACGTGCCAGGACAGGGGTCTTTAATCCCTGTTGGTAGCTTCAACCGGAACTAATTCTTCCTTTACTCCCGTACGTAAAAAATATTATGACTAAAGCCCAAAATCAAAGCGGATGAAAGGTCATTTCTCTACTAGTGCTACCTCCCCAGGCCGGAGATGAAGACATGGGAGGGAGGGAGCTGCCGTAGTTGGAGACGAGGGAGGGAGGGAGCGAGAGCTGTGTTGGGTTTCTGTGTAAATTGTGCAGCAGAGGGAGGAAGATAAGAAGGAAGGGGGGGGTTGCGTAACTCACGTCCGACTGGTCGTATGCGAAGATTGGCGGTGTCTTGCTGCCGCCTCGCTCGGTGCGTCAACTGCTCACTTGTGCTCTCGTCCACTCTTCCAGGATGGCGTGGCCGGTGGGCATGCATGCGATGGGACCATGGGAGAACCTGATCGTTGATCGAGCCGAGGCTACAGTATTACTATCCCGATGGTCCGGAATCTTGATGTTCCTACTTCCTACCTACACAAGTGCTCACCTTGCTACAGATGGAGTTAGGTGACGTGAACATTTTTACGTGTCCTACTTCTATTGGTATTTGATTCGTTCTCTCTCTACGTGCTTTTGGCAAGTATCGTTTTAGGGCCTGTTTGATCTGTTATCACTAAAAAATAGCAGCTAAAATTAGTAATAGTAAATTCAAATAGACCTGCTAATACACCTGCTAATGATTAGCTCGAGAGCTGCTAACTATTAGTCGCATTAGCAAGTTTATAGTTGCTAATACGTGCTAATAGTTTATATGTACCTTTAACTCACTATTCAACCATCTATTAGCAACTATTAGTAGGTGGATCCAACGGCCCCCTACTAAAATTTAGCTAGCTAAAAAATAGCAACTATTAGCTATTAACTAACTACTTTTTAGTGATAATGGATCTAAACAAGCCCTTAGCTAGCTAATTTTTAGTGCTAATTTTAGCAGCTATTATTTGTGAATTTTAACCACATTAATATAATCTGGATGAATTTAATGTCCAAATAAAGCATAAAAATAGGTAGTGTCATAACGGGAACAAGTATATTTTCTAATATCACATGTAGCAGTGTCATAAGAAATCAATGCATTTTATAGAATAGGGGTATTCTAGTCATTTCACATGACACTTAACGGTGTTAGCCTCGAAAAGTCACGATATATTTAAGAGTACATGTTTCCATGTCTTACAACGGAGAAAACAAAAATATCAAGCTCGTATTTTAATTCAATACAAATTAATAGGGCATTGCTATATTATTGCAAATATTAAATTATTATACACATAATGGTCATCATAAAATAAATTATAGCTTTTAAATTTTATAAAAAGGAAAAACTAAATAAGTATGTAATATCCGTTTTTATTAATGTTCGATAGTTTTTTCTCTCGTTTCAACGCACGGACATAATTACTAGTATATAATAATGTTAGAAGAAGAAAATTTCTCTCCTCACTTATTATATCCAATAGTTTATTTTTATCGTACCTCATTCTTCTTAGTCTGTATCTACTCTTAGCGTCTACATGTTTCAATCCAAGTCCAATAGGAGACTACGTTTTAAATATAAAGCCAGCATAATCCAAATGCAAATCCAACACGAGCGCTTCGAACAACGAGTTTTTAGGTTGGTTTCTGGGCTGATAAACTCGACTGGTGCTGATTTGCTGTAAGAGAAAAATACTGTTTGCTGGCTGATAAGCCATGACTGAAACCATCAAGCGAACATGCCGTTTGTTTGGTTTCAAGATGTATTAGAATAAATGATACGATGTAATTAATTATATAAATCTTTAAGCCGCAAGTCATTCAGACAGTCGTACAATAATAAGGTTGCAGCATACAAATCTACCAGCTACTATTCATATTAGAAGTATGAGGCCGCGCCGTCTCCGCGGCCTCTGAGCATGGCCACGATAGCCTGCTCTGTTAGCCCCGTCCGATATTGTTTTTATGGCTCAGATCGCCTTGTTCCTATTTTTCACTATGAGTTTTTGTCTTCTCATGATTGGACTGAAGGAGAACAGGTTTCGTAACATGCACCGTGGCCTCTGAGCATGGCCACGATAGCCTGCTCTGTTAGCCCCGTCCGATATTGTTTTTATGGCTCAGATCGCCTTGTTCCTATTTTTCACTATGAGTTTTTGTCTTCTCATGATTGGACTGAAGGAGAACAGGTTTCGTAACATGCATGTTGTTGGCTCAACCTGCTCTACGCATGGAGAAAGCACAAGGATAGAAAATCTGGTATTATGCTACAGCCTAGATTCTCCACGCACTCCGCGGCCTCTGAGCATGGCCACGATAGCTTGCTCTGTTAGCCCGGTCCGATATTGTTTTTATGGCTCAGATCGCCTCGTTCCTATTTTTCACTATGAGTTTTTGTGACATGCATGTTGTTGGCTCAACCTTTTATTATATGCTTGCTCTACATATGGAGAAAGCACAAGGATAAAAAAATCTGGTATTGTGCTACAGGCTAGATTCTCCACGCATGCTGCCGGTGGTCTCAATGCATGCATGCATCATAGAAGCTGCAACGCATGCAGCAGATAGCATGCATGCATCATAGAAGCTGCAACGCTGCTGTGTGAGGTGACATGAATACAGAAGCTGCAACGCTACTGTGTGAGGTGACAAGAAGCTGCAATGCTACTGTATGAGCGGGCAAGGACAGACGACTGGTGCTGCAGTGCAAAAATGAGTGGATGAGAGCACCAGACTCCGGGCAGTTCCCTCCGTTGGTCCCACGTCGTTCCATAAACTTTTGCCTTCTACAGCTACAGACATTGGACTTCACGCTATCTGATCGATTAAATGCTATCTGATCGATTAAATTGGGAAAAAATTTGAACTCCAGGCGTCCATTTAATCTTGTACATGATATTGACCCTTCATGCCGAATATCTATGCTAGCACAACAGCACACAGCGTGCCAATCTTTTGTCCTTTCTATGTAATTATGCATGTTGCCTACTGAAGCATTTCTCATGATAGGACCCGGGAACAGGCCTCCAATGATAGTAGCACTAGCAGTAGAGAGAAACTGCTTCAGTTCTCAAGATCCTTTTTTTCAACAAGAATAAAGTGACAGCTGGATACGTTTCGTGCATCATATATAGGATAATAACCATCTTGTTTGAAAGCTGGAACCATTCTAGGGTTACTTATTATTACTAGCCTGCTGCAATGTCATAGCATCGACTGAATGATTTTTGGTTTTATAGGGTTGTGGCGGTATGGAATCATGACCTGGGATCCCTTAGGAGGTATAGCTGTCTTTGTGACAACCCACCCAGCTTTGGTTCAGAGTGCGAGTGCGTATGTATGATGTTTGGACACAGCCAAAGTGGCACATACGCATTACGCACACACTCCCAATCCTTGAATATCGCACACGTGAGTCAGGCAGGCACACTGTGGCCTGTGGTGACTGCCTGACTGGTGAGAGAGGAGGGAAGAAGAGGAAGCTACCTTCGTGCTGCAATTTGCCGCCTTCTCACGATATATAGAGCATGCATGAAATGTCACCATCATGCACTTCCACACAAAGAAGACAAAAGGGCATCAGACGGCATGCATGCATGAAATGTCACCATCGTACTAGTGCATCATTTGTACCTTGTTGCTACCAGACATTTGGTCCATGGGTCATTGGCGCAGATTAGTACCTTCGATATTTTGAAAAGTTGATTTCTTTGTTATTCCCAGACCAGTGCATGGGTTGAATTTGATTACTATATCGTTCTTACCAGTTTAGTACATGGATTTAAATTTTCCATTGTTCGCAGTAGATTAAATTAACCATGCATTATGTGCCCATGTGAACCTAGGGCATGTCTATTTCTTATTCGTCGTGTTCTTACCGATAGTGCGCGTCCGAGATTGTCCTCTTGCCTATATAATCATGCCCTTCCTGCTGCTTCACGGCACCCCTTCATCTGTCTTTGCCTTTGTTATGTTCTTGAGTCACGCCTACCGAGACACTCGTGTAGGGCAGTGAAAGTTGAACTAGGAGACATTTGGTGCCAGAATATCAAGTTAGATATACTGAAACTGATGGTCCTATGAAGCATATTAAAAAAAGTAGTACCAGACACCTTCCATACATTTAATTTTGTGGCCACCTCAGGTCAAGAAACATTGCAAATTTACAGGCACAAAATCCGTCGGCCTTTAAATCGTGTTAGACCTTTTCCTTGGGAATCGGTTCAACAAGAAAATATGTAAATGTGCATGCTTCTTGTCACTTTTGAGTTTGGTACCTTTATCTATGGAGATGATTTTATGCTCCCTATAGGTGATCCACCAATAATGTTTCATGGAGGGGGCACCTGCTAGCAACACAAGGAAGAAGGTTCGGAGAGAAGGCTCCTCCTCCCAGCCAGGTGCGCTCTCTTGTGGTTGCATTATATATTTGCTTATTGTGTATAAGCAGCAAATTTGCTATCAATGTTGCAGGAGTTGCTACACCATCTACTGAGAGAACTATACGGGAGAGGCAGGAGCGCCGAAGATCTATAATAAGAGCGAAGAAAGAAGGTAGTTATTGAAGTACTTCCCCCGTCCCTAAATAATTGTCGTCGTTAGTGTACGTGCCGTAACTTTGACTTGAGTTGGAGAAAATGCGTGCAACATTAGTATCTCCAAATAAATTTGTTAAAAAACTAGATTCAAAGATCTTTCCAATGATACTAATTATGTACGATACATATTAATATTTTTAATATATATTTAGTCAAAATTATTTCTCGGAAAGCGAAAACGACAGATATTTAGGGACGGAGAGGAGTGTGTTTATAATCCAAAGATATTGGTGCGCTCTTCGCAAGCCATGGACCCCTATATTATATTGGGGTACTAGCTAGGGTAGATTCTCTAGGATGACCAACTAATTATCTTACGTTGCTGTAGGTAGGGTTACATGTTCCAGTAAGAGGGCAACAGAGGGAGAGCAGCAGTGTCAGAGGCTAAAAGCAAGGTCAAGGAAAGAAGGTACTTGTTTGCATGTGTGTCTATATATTGCAAGCAGAAAAATCATATTTTCCTTGGTGGTGGTTGCAGACGACGAGATATCATACTACGGGCCTCCTGCGCACAAGTGTCAGTACTGTGGTGCGCAGTTTTGGTACCAAGAACGTGTGAAAAGAACGTATCGAGGTGAAGGAGACCGTGTACGTTTTCATCTCTGTTGTAGGGGAGGTAAGGTGCGCTTGCCTCTTCTAAAAGATCCCCCTCCATTTCTAGCTGGTTTGTTGAACCCAAATGGTGATACTTTCTCTAAATACTTCATCAAATCTATACGTTCATACAACTCCATGTTTGCTTTCACTTCACTCGGTGCTAAAATTGACATGGATATAAACAAGGGTCCTGGCCCGTATGTCTTTAAAATTAATGGACAGGTCCACCATCGAATTGGATCTTTACTACCAGATGAGGGTAAGTCTCCTGTATATGCACAACTTTATATTTATGACACTGATAATGAGGTTGAAAATCGAATATCAATTTTTGATAGGGATAGGGACTGTGAGGGTGAGAATGAAATTGATAGAAGAATTGTCCAGGGCTTAGTGAGGATGTTTGATGCAGCAAATGAGCTGGTGAAATCCTTTAGGGCAGCTAGGGACCTATTGGTCCAAAACAATAGTTGCCGCCAATTGCGTCTCAGGTTATTGCACGATAGATCGAAAGCTGCACCTCAGTACAATGCACCAACAGGATCCGAGATAGCTGCTTTGATAGTTGGTGACTTTTCGGAGGAGAAGAAGAGTCCTGATATAATAATTCAGGATAGAGGCGGTGGGCTTAGAAGGATTAGTAACCTTCATTCTAATTACATGGCTTTGCAGTACCCAGTTCTTTTCCCATATGGTGAGGAGGGCTTCAAACTAGGGATCAAGTATAGCCACACGGGGACCTTGCGGGTTAAATCTAGGGGTGAGGTTACCATGCTCGAGTATTATGCTTTCCGTTTACAACAACGTAGCTGTGAGGCCACTACATTGTTATGCGGGGACCGATTATTCCAGCAGTATATAGTCGATGCATTTGCTTCAGTAGAGGAGAATAGGCTTCGATTTATTATTAAAAACAATAAGAACCTAAGGTCGGAGATTTACAAGGGTATTCATGACGCACTACACAAGGGTGATTTTGACGGAAACAATGTTGGTAAGAAAGTTATATTGCCTGCTAGCTTTACTGGGAGCAAAAGATACATGGTACAAAACTACCAGGACGCAATGGCTATTTGTAGGTTCTATGGGCCTCCAGACTTGTTTATCACCTTTACTTGTAATCCCAAGTGGCAAGAAATAGACGACTCCCTTGCATTTATACCAGGCCAGAAAGCTAACGCTAGACCTGATATGGTTAGTCGGGTTTTTAAATTGAAGGTTCAGGAGCTGGTTTCGGTGCTGAAGAAGGGTACTTACTTTGGAAAATCACGAGCAGGTACGACTGCTATTTTTAACATACTCGGTATCTACTAGCATTTCTCACGCTAATTTGTAACTAGCTCTTGGTCAAATCTAGAGTATGCATGGTGAAAAAGTAGGCAATAGTTGCATGCTCCAAGGATGCATGGGTGCATCAGACTAGCTAGCAGCATGCATGCATGCAGAAAGTAGGCCATCATATGCCCTGCACAAGAGTTGAGGCTCACAGCTCTCCTACTAGCTTTTTTGTGTGGAGGGCACGGGCATCCATGCTGAGACTAGGAGACACCACCATCCTCGATAAAAGTAGCAGGCAGCACTCATGGTTGCCAGACCTGCCCGACAATGCATCCTGCAACGAGTACTGTGGCCTGTGGCCCTGCGTGCTATTGTAGGCCACAGCTATGTGTTCCAAGTAGTTATGAGTGAACAACCTTTTAGGACAGGGCAGCTGTGTTTTCAGGCCAGAAGGTTATTCAATCCTCCAAGTGTACATAAAAGCGTTCCTGCTAATGTCACTCCCGGTAATGGGCCGTCCGATGCAATTACAGAGTCTGCCAATCCTGGTGAAAGCACTCCACAGGAACTGAAGCAGATTTTTTTATCGTTTCACAATTCACCCGAACAGCGAAATGTCTATAATACCTTTTTATTCTTTTTCTTCTCTTTTCTTTTCTTTTCCCAACCTTATCTCGCTAGGTGAATACGGTGGGTTTCATACCGCTACCACTGCTTGTGCAGTGTTGCCTCGTTAGTCTTGGCGTGGCACGTGGATGGGTCTAACGGACCGAGGTGACTGTTGTCACATCGGTATTTTTGGGGTTTAGCGGCGTGCTTGCCTTTGTCGAAGCAGACGGGCGTCAGCGCAGAGGGCTCGACCTCTCTTCTCATCTTTCACAGGTTCGTGACGTGAAAAAGAGGTCGCGATTTACATATCTATCTATGTTATGCTATTTTCATAAAATGTTAAAGCTGTTTTTTATGATGACTATGTCATCCACAATAATATGACAGCTGTTTTTTTATGATGACTATGTCATCCACAATAATATGACAATACCCTATTAAGCCTGTATCAAATTTAAAATACAATCTTTATAGTTTTTTTCTCTTCTGTTGCAAAATGCACAAAACTATTTATTGTAAATGTATCATAATTTTAGTTTCATACTATCCATTGGTATAGTTAAATTTTGAGTTATATGACTTTCTTTGTGGACTCATAAAATTGTAATTTTAATCTCTGATTAAAATAAGTAAGATGTATATATAGTTACCAATGTGTCAAAGACTGGTGTATCTGGTGATTATGACGTGAAGCATCTCTCGGTTTCTACACGGTAGATCTAGTCGAGGATTGCTTTTGGAGATATATTTATTAGACTAGATTGGATAACAAACTTCTCCAGACTTCAATTTGCGATTTGATTACTTGGACCATTTGTTGAACCGGATTATAATAATAATATAAGTTTTTTCTCAATTAAAACTATATTAATAATTTGATAGTGAAAATATATATTTGTAGGTCCAGAGCTCAAAATATTATATTTTTATTTATTTTATTTTATATAGGAAAAACAAAATTAGAAAAAAGAGGGGAGCGTGAAAGGGAATTACGGACATAAGTAATGCGGGGAAAAACAGGACGCAAACCAAAATCAACGTGAGAAACACAGAAGCAAACCAATTTTTTTAACGGAATGTAACACTCCAGGCCCGGCATAGGGCAGAGGCCCACTCTAGCGGCTTCCGGCGCGCGAGCACGGCAGCGACCCCATCAGCCAGCAGCGGCGGCTCCTACAACTAGCGGCTTCCGGAAAGCGAAAGCACGGCAGCGACCCCGCAGCCCGCGCTGCATCCCCACGCCTGCACCGTAGCTCTCGCCCCAACAGCTCGCCCCCTCGGCGACCGGCGGCGGTTCAGGCTCGGCGGCGCGCCGACGCGCGCCCAGCGAGGGCAAATCGCCTGTTGCCGTGTGCTGGGCCCACGGGAGCAGTCGGAGCCGATGGAAGCTACGTTTTTTCAGCTCCCACCCTCTCTCTCCTCTTCTCTTAGCGGATATTCCGCGACTCCGAGCGTGAAGCCATTTGCCTTGCCACCGTTTGGTTGAAGGAGAGCAAAAATGGCTCCAGGAGCTGTACCAAACAGCCCCTACCCATTGCCTGGATACACGATCTTTCAGTATTCCTGTCTCCTCGCCTGTGTTAGTTTACCATAAAAGCATGTCGTAACCAAATAATGCATGCTATATGATTTATTCGACTATAGTATTCATTGCGCTCACAGGGATCCTATCTTTTGATGCCATATATTCTTACCTTTGCTTTCTGTTTCAGTGCTCTACACTATTGAGTTCCAGAAGCGTGGTCTACCTCACGTTCATATTTTGCTTTGGCTTGAAGGTAACTCGAGAGACCCACGGCCTTTGTTTATTGATTCAATAATTACTGCTGATATACCATATAGAGTTTCAGACCCTTTGGGTTATAGCCTTGTCGACGAATTCATGGTGCATGGTCCTTGTGGGGAGCTTAACAAAAAATGTCCATGCATGAAGAACAATAAGTGCTCAAAATTTTTCCCTAAAGCTTACCAGCAAAGCACAATTGTTGGTGAGGATGGGTTCGTGCAGTATAGGCGTCCTGAATCTGGTAGTTATGTCGAGCGGTACGGGGTTAGACTTGACAGTGGATGGGTTGTTCCTTACAACTTGTCTTTGTTAAAGAGATTTAGAGCCCACATAAATGTTGAATGGTGCAACAAGACACATCTAATCAAATATTTGTTTAAGTACGTCACGAAGGGTCCAGATCGTGCTAGAGCTATAATTGAGAGCTTTGATAATGACACTCATGCTGGCCCCTCTCAACAGCACCCTGTAGGTAACGATGGCACCACTCAGCCACAGGTAGATACTCAGAAAAAGGATGACGAAATTGATGAAGTTAGGGAGTATATTGATTGTCGTTATTTATCCTCTCATGAGGCTGTCTGGCGTATGTTCGAGTTTGATATACATTATAGGACACCCTCAGTAGAGAGGTTATCTGTGCACCTGCCTTTCATGAACAACCTTGTGTACCAGGCTAACCGCCCCTTAGCTGATATTGTAGATGACCCTCGTTCCCTGAAAACAACATTGACTGAGTGGTTTTGCGCTAATAGGGTGTACCCATCTGCCCGAGAACTAACGTATATAGAATTCCCTACTAGGTGGGTTTGGGATAAAAAGGATAGAGCTTGGTATCCCCGCAAAGGATCTAAGAAAATTGGGAGGGCTATATATATAAACCCTAGCTGTGGTGAGCTGTACTACCTACGTATGCTCTTGAATGTTGCCAAAGGTGCTACATCCTATGAGGATCTTCGAACTATCGCTGGTGTTATGTACCCAACATTTAAAGATGCCTGTCAGGCGCTTGGCCTTCTTGGAGATGACAATGAGTGGCGTGAGGCTCTTAGAGAAGCATCTGTCTGGGGATCAGCCGCTCAAATGCGCCAGCTTCTTGTTACTATAGTACTTTTTTGTTCAGTTTGCGACGTGCCCTCCTTGTTCTCTGAGTTCTATACTTATTTCACTGATGATATACATCATAAAATCAAGAGGATTCTGCAACTACCATTCTATACGGTTCGTAACAGCATATTAAAAACCATGTTTTAGTAGAGCTTGATAAATTATTTAGTAAGAATGGTGCATCGATGACCGACTATGGTTTTCCGAAACCTGATCTTAGCCTTTGTAACAAGGTGAAAAATAGGCTGCTATCAGAGGAATTGGCTTATGATCCTATCAGTCTTATGCATATCCATGACAGCCTAGTGAATCGATTAAATTTTGAGCAAAAACATATATACGATGTTGTTATACAATCAGTTTATGAAAAGTCTGGCCAATGTTTTTTTGTTTATGGCTATGGTGGCACTGGAAAACATTTCTTTGGAATGCAATCATTTGTGATTACGGTCTGAAAAACTTATTGTTCTTGCAGTAGCCTCTTGAGGGGGTTGCTGCACTCTTGCTCCTCGGAGGACGATACGCACATTCCCGGTTTAAAATTCCTATAGTCATTGATGAGTCATCTGTTTGTGAGATTAGAAGGGGCTCATTCCTAGCAGATTTAATAGTCCAATGCTCTTTGATAATATGGGATGAGGCCCCAATGACCCATAGACACTGTTTTGAGTCACTAGATCGCAGCATGCGTGACATTCTTGGTAAACTGGACTCTTCCAATTTTCATAAGCTCTTTGGTGGGAAAACGGTGCTACTTGGTGGAGATTTTCGCCAAGTATTACCTGTTGTCGAGGGTGGGAGTAGATCAGAAACCATAGATGCATCCATAACTAACTCCTACATCTGGAAGCACATTAAGATACTAAGACTTACAGTGAACATGCGCCTGCTTGCCATGGCAGACAGTGGGTTACCTATAGAGCAAGTGAAAGAATTTAATGACTGGGTGTTAAGTATTGGAGATGGTACTGCACAAGGAACTGTGCATAGTGACGATGGAGACTCCGAGTTAGTAGAAATACCACATGATGTTTTAATCCCAAGGTTAGAGTCAGCCATTGATGATATAATAAGATCTACATACCCAAACTTAGCCACATTATACTCGGATCCAGCCTACTTAAGGGAAAGAGCTATTATCTCTCCAAAAAATGACACTATCGATGAAATTAATGGACGTGTCCTCTCTTTAATCCCAGGCCATGAAAAGGTATACCTTAGCTCAGATGCATTGGTTGAGTCTTCAAAGGAACATGGTAATTTAGACTTGCTTTATCCAGTTGAGTTCTTAATTCGCTGCAGTTCAAAGGCATTCCTCCTCATAAGCTTGCACTTAAGATTGGTTCGCCTGTGATGCTTCTACGCAATCTAAATCAAAGTGCAGGCTTCTATAATGGTACATGCCTTATAATAACGCAATTAGGTGATCGAGTTGTGGAGGCTCAGATAATTACAGGATCACACGCTGCTGAAAAAGTTATCCTTCCTCGTATTGCCTTGCACGTATCAAGTACCAAATGGCCCTTTGTACTTAGTAGGCGGCAATTTCCAATTCGTCTATGTTATGCAATGACCATAAACAAGAGTCAAGGACAAACCTTGCAGAATGTTGGCCTCTACTTGCCACGCCCAGTTTTTAGCCATGGGCAACTGTATGTTGCTATATCACGCGTAACATCTAGGAAAGGTCTTAAGGTCCTAATTGATGATGATACAGGTTCAGATTGCACCGTCACCCAGAACATTGTATACAAGGAGGTGCTTCAGGCCCTGTGGTAACTATCGACCCATGGCGCCAATCGTTAGCCTCTATTCCGCATGTTAATGCCTATTTAAATGGTGTATGCTTACAACTTGCGTCTTACTGAAGGTCGTACTCGGTCTAATGATTCCTTTGCTTATGATTAAACGACAGATGGCCTATAACATGTTGTCGGAGATTAACCCAACGAAGTACAATTGGCGTGTCAAGGTTAGAGCCGCAAGGATATGGCAGTTTTCTGGCACTTCCAAGGGGAAGGAATTTAGCTCAATGGAACTCATTCTCGTTGATGAAGAGGTGCACCAGTTAACACATCTAATTTGTTTTTGAGATATATCTGTTCTTGTTACCTTTACTCTCTATATTATTCTACAGGGCCTAGGGGTCACAGCCTGCATTGGGCAGAAAAACCTTGACAAGTTTTCTAGATCCATGTCTGAAGGCCATTCCTATTATATAAGAAATTTCCAAGTCAGCAAGCAAGCACGGAAGTTCAGAGCTATACCCAGCATGTACACCATATTTTTCACGCCGTGGACCATTATTGAAGAAATCCCTCCTGAGTTGTCCGCCAGCCTGCCGCTCTATGTATTTAACTTTGTGGATTTTGGAGATTTAGATGATAAAGCAAGGCATGGGGATGGCTTAATAGGTATTCACCCTAACGAATTCTACAAAACTAAATTGTGCTTATATGCTTAGGTAGACAAACTGTAATGCGGTATACCTATTGTACTATATCTAATGACGTGTTCATTCAACAGATGTCATTGGGCAACTCATTTGTCGTGCATCCGATGGTGCATTCTAGCAGATTTGAATGGCCCATCTGTAAAGGCGGGAAGTGGAGCTGCTGCGATCTAGAGTATGATTGCTATTTTTTCACGGTCATTTGGAAAACCCTTTATAAAGAGGTTACTAAAATAGGTTGCGTTCTTAATATCGCAGTGACCGCGTTTTATCGATGACTTTATGGGGTGAGCATGCAACGTCTTTTGAGGACCAGTTCCTTATTGAGACTATAGGAAACGATGAGGCGGTTGTGATCATTTTTGCTGGGGTCCAAGCAAGGCTATTTTTAGGTGGTGCTAACTCGTGCTAACCATTGATATTTAGTGCTGAATCAAATTTAGAGTTCTGATCCAAGCATCCATTTTTGTTTTGCAAATAGGTTCGGCCAGCTGCCGGAGCCATGCAGCAACGAAATGGTACATAAATATTGACATCCCTGAGGTTAATGCTTTCCGTGCTAGGTATGCGTTACTCTCCTTCGTCTTGTTAAGTTCTATAGATGCATGTCTGCTTGAATCTTTTCTTATTTGCTCCCCTCTTTTCTCCATAGCTTACAAGGAAGAGGCTCTGAGGTTCAACTTCTACCAGGGGTGCTGATGCTGCAGCTGGTGGCTGTGACGAGGAAAATGCTAATAGGAAGACTGTGTCCGAACTCTTGTCCTTAAACCCCCATGAAGATAATGTAATGCATGGTCCCATCTATATTTATATCCATATGTATTATAATGTAATGGTTAACTTGTTGCCTTCCACATTGCATTAGGATGTACGCTTTACATGCCATGCAAGTATAAGGGAAATAGACGTCACAAATGGTTGGTGGTACAAAGGTTGCAGCGTATGTAAGAAGGGTTTGAAGGCAACACTCCAAGGGTTTGAATGTGTAAACTGTGCTGAGACGGAGCCTGTGATCGTTCCCAGGTAAGGTTCTTTATCTGCTAAGACCATGTCTCTAACCTTTATGTGGTGAACATTGGTTTCCTAATACGTTTTCTCGATGCATGCATAGCTACAAGCTAAATGTTGTCATCGAAGATGCCACTGGCCGTGGGAAAATATTTATGTTTGGAGGTGTAGCTGAGCAGGTCGTAAGGCGGACTGCCGCTGATCTTGTGGAAGAAAGTTCGCCAAACCAGATTTTATTGCCTGCCGCCCTGCATGAACTACCTGTTGCAGGACCTTAGCAAGTATATCCTCTTTGGTATAAATAGGTAGATAAAATGTTATTTGTTGGAGCATTCTAATTTTATCTTCCCCGTGCAGGAACGTGCTGGGAAATAAACGACCACGATCTGCTCGCAAGGAGTTATTTCCTTCCAAAAAAGAGAAACAAAGGTTATCTAATTTACTTGGTATTGTTTCTAAGTATAAACAACATGCATGGACCATATAATGACCAACAATCCTTTCAAGTTGCAGTGAGGCGTGAAGCTCCATCTTTATGGTCTCCACCACCCTGTCTACTGCTATCGCTAAATAAAGAGTCTGCCTTGTAGCTTGTGCTATGGCAATGATGTATTTGTACCTAATAGTACTATAATCCATCTAGAATTAGTAGACTGTTTGCAGTGTCCTATTTCGTCCCTTGGCTGACTGGTGCCCTGGTGTCACCTATGTATGAAGCCAATCCTAAATAAAAAGTTAACAGGGACATTTTCTATTTGATGTACTTGTCCAGTACTGTTTTGTACCACCTACGTGTGAAGTAGCTTTGAATATATAATGTTATCTTCTCCTATGAGTTTCTGGCTAGCCGTTTGTGACATTTCTAGTGCTACGTTCCTAACCTAATTATTTTGTTTTATGAGAAAACTATATTTGGCACCATTCCATAGTTTATATGTGAGACTGTTTCCAGCTTTACAAGGTACCTATTTTTGAGTTATGTTGGTGATGCCCCTAGCCTACTATCTTCTAACACTCAAATAGCAATAGACCTCCAGCAATGGTATTCGATGGCACGTCATTATTGGGATTCAATAAAAAAAGATCACATTCCATGCATTAGGTCCTCATAGTACAACACTAACTCCAAAGACATCATGTCCAGCATCGAATAAAATACATAGCCCATCCAAAGTGTGCTGCTATGATAGGCAGCCACTATTGACCTTGCTATTAGGAAACATAACTAGGTTGAACAAAATATACATAAACTTAGTGATAGATTGTAGCCATCGATCGACCCTGGTCCGATACCATTGTCGTCCTTCATCGTGGCTTTAAAATTTTTCATACCTTTGGTGGTAGCTTTCCCTAGATTAATGTCGCCTATGACATCCTCCTTGTTTGTGCCGCTTCTCGCTAGATTTGTGTTGTCCGTCTTTGTCCTTCATGGCACCAGTTCCTCCTAAGATGTGCTCTGTCCAAAAATCATCTGGAAAAAGCTCTAGTGGTTTCTGCAGTACAAGTGCACGATGGCTTATGTAAGAAAGCTGAAGCTGTTATGTACTACATATATATTCAAACCATTTAGCTCCTATATCATTATGGGCTCAAAACGTGTCCCAGTAACACATATAATTAAAACATATACCATTGTTTGTGCTACATGAGTTTTGATATCATGTATTAGAAATAGTTTCAAACAATCAGAACTTTATCCGGTAAACTAATACATTAATGATATTGCCCAATCGAGAATATATCATAAATAAAAATTTGAGCCAATTACTCTTGGGGATTTTTTGGGAGCTCCACTTGTATAATGATATACCTTTTGCATCCTGCGGTTGAGCTTCCATGCGTAGCTCCTTTAGACCACAGAGAATCATGTGCACCATTAATAAATATCCTTGTGCATGTGTACCCCATACCTCGGTAGAAAAGGCAACAAACAACCCACTTAGACTATATCTTAAATATAGCTTCATACCTTGATTGGCTGTGCATCTTGCCTCATCTCTTGCTTTGTGCCCTTCACGTGAGAGTCGTGAAGGACCAATTCCCTTGGAGTATGCCTCTAGGCTGTTTGGGACATAAGGACCAAGTGAAAGACATGGATTGGATTGCTCCAATAGATTCTACTGAGTTCATTAGGCACAATGTATCCTCTCTTCACACGGACACTCCTCCATTTGTTATCCGATGGTACTGGTAACCCAGATGCCAACCGTGAGGCGCTATGCTTTTGTTGTGGCTCGAGAGATGCATACTTTGTCCAGTTTCAGCATGAATATACACGTCATGAAGCTGAGAGTTGATGCCAACTCTAACAAAAATGGGAAAAAGTTCAGGTCCAACCGTAATAATGAGTGCCCTTACATAGTCACGGTTGTCCTGGTGGCTTCAACACATTCCATCTTTTCAAACTTATGAAATAATCAAGAATGCCCTTTACATCATCCCAACCCCAACATTCTCTAGGCAATCCACTTATCCTCACCCAAAACCTTTGCAGCTGTTCCATGTGCTCCTATGTTCTCCTCCCATCTCCTCACTACCAAAGCATTATTGGAACCAAATAATACCTGCCCAATTGCAGCCTTCTCTAAGATGCTTATGGATGGAAACTCGATGAGATAAGTTCTAGGACCCTCTGGGCTGCTTTCCAAGGGTACTCGAAATTATAGACCTCCCGTAGTATGCCTTGAACAACCTCGGAGTGGATTCGAAGGACCCAAGGTTGATGCAATTGCACATCTCTTTAGTGTGTTTACTCTAGCCTCACGATCTTTGCTAGGCCCTAGCCAGATGAACTGAGGAAAATAAATAGAGTGCCGTTTACCTCCACGTTGAAATTTTGCTGGAGCGCTCACCAATCTAGCGCACTTAGATTGTTCTTCTTCCTTCCTTCCACCCTCCATCCTTGTAATTTTGTTGGCGCTATGGCCGTTTTTTACCGCCTTCAAAGTGACTAAATATATATGGGGAACGACCCTTCAACATGTCTGAGCCATGATTTGTATGCTCGAGCGGTTCAATTTCCCAGAGCAAACTATTGCCGAACAGTTAGAAGGGTACTGATAAAGGTGCCTTATATGCAATTGTCTGTACATGACCAGTTGCTACACTAGCCTATTTTACAAAGTTGCAAGGACATTAACCAAAGGAAGATCTGCTGGCATATGGTCAAGTGCACCTCTAACCTTGTGCATGGGGGCATTAGAAGTGCGGAGCCTCATAGGTCAACGCTGGAACCTTAGGCGTCCAACTACCCCTACAATGCCACCTCACCATCGCCCAACTGAACAATCAGAACTAGACCAAAGGGAACACACTAGACAAATAAGTGGAGTATGTAAATTTAGGCCAAAATTTTGTAAGGTCTGTGGTTTCCATTGTTTGGTAAAGTAGTGTCATGAGGGGGACATCGTTAAAAAGAATCCCTATATAAAAGTTTGGCAGAAGGGCTGACCTATTATGAAGAATTAGTTGATTTGAACAACATCGAGAAGTTCTTATGAGTAAGGAATTCTACTTTATACCACTAATAAGGAGGAAACACAGGATAGCAAGATAAGAATAGGCATTGTTTGACCTCTGCGCAGATCCACGACATACCAGATACTATTTGGCCATCTTATGGGCCAGCAATGTACCCCTTGTTTTTTCCATACATCCAGCACACTTATGGATTCGCTAGGACATATATGTGATTATCTAGCTGCCATCAGTTTTCCATCAACTGTTTGGGTCCCTGTTCGTAAGCAGTTACCTTGTAGTTGCATGGTAGCAGTGTTAGCCCGAACAACCATGCCATTCCAAGGCAAGGTACACTAGCCTTCCCTATTCTAAAGAGCGGCCTTTGCTTGCAGGCACACATCAACTATTCAACAATAGTTATATGACCATTGGCTTGCATCCTGCCTTTCCTACACTGTTGTACGAAATGCATATATTAATAGAAGAGAGGCGATAGGGATGGATTCGGATCAGAGCCATACGGATACGGGTGCGTACACCACTGATTACCATACTTTAATTTAAATTCAGATACGAGTATGTATATTTTTAGATACAAATGCAAAACGAATATCTCGAATTCGGATATCTACTTGATTTTGAGGATGACAGGTATCTATTACTTATCGATAGTTTAATACTATACTAAAACCATAATGGATAGAGGGATTTAAAACATAGCTATATAACACCATGCACAAAGACAACTACAGAAAATAAAATAATTTAATAAATATTCTAATAATTAAATATATGAAATATAAGACAATTATAAATATTATATATCAATTGCTGGATTCAAATGAATAAAAATAAATTCCACAAGTATATAAACAAAATAAGATAGTAATTAATATGATTAGCATATTAAAATTAATTAAACTTAAGATTTTTATATCGTTACTAAGATAGTACCGGCTTTGTCACAGTTTGTCGAATACGAACGGGGAATCAGATAGAGAAGACTCTTCAAAAGCAAATACGGATGCATCCATTTACCATTCATATTTAGATTGAGTACGAATACGGATATCCATATTTATACTAAATGAATACGGATATCGGATCTTTCGGATATCTAGAAATCTTGACATCCGCATCCATCCCTAGCCGATACCCGATACAACACCTGACAACGACATTTATTACTATAAAATATTTGTAGCACGTAATCGTTAATAAGAAGACCAGTCTAAGCAAGGAAGATTATTATTCGACTGTTTGTAGTTGTTCAATACGCCAACCCCTCCCCCCACCACACACACACACACAACGTTTGGCTATAGTCCTGTTTTATTTGTTCTTTAGCTTTTCAGTACTTTGCAGTGGGCGGAACTAGGGGGGCAGCAGGGTCGTGGTCCCCCCAATCTAGTAGAAATGTTTTTAATATCCCTATAACTACTGTAGTTTATAGCATATTAAGACATCATTTTACCCATTTTGTATCATAATATCATGATTTTTCGTTATCGATGCTAATTACATATATAAAACATTGAAAAAAATTGGTGAAACATACCCTCATGTATGTATTTACCATACTTAGAGGTGTCATCGTATTTCTCCAGCCCTTCTTAAACAATGCTGCTGGTTCTGCCACTGGTACTTTGTGCACTACAAATTGTCTTGTAGGATGCGTCGGAACTAATTTTGGAACTACAAACATCCTTGGCTAATTGCAGTTGAATCATGCTGGGTGGCAGGGAGCCACAAAGTATCATTTAATGATATAAATAATCAGCCCCGGACCTATTCATCTTTTTCATTCTAATCCCATGTGACAAGGAATAGCTGGTGCATTTATACGAGGATAGAAACTTAATGCAAGAACTGCTATAATTACTACTCGAGCTTTCAAACTGAAGGTTAAAGCTTGT